CTTCTCCCTCTCCCACTCCCCCTGCTTGTGTTCCCTCTCGCTGTGTCTCTCTCTGTCAAATAAATAAATAAAATCTTAAAAAAAAAAAAAAGAACTCTTGAATATGTCATATGAGAAAAGACTCCAACGAACCCAAGAAAATACTTAAGAAATCAGCTGAATTAAAATTAAGCTTCATATATTTATATACCTTGCTTAGCATCAACAATCTCTTTAAGATGTGCAAGACATGCTTTAAAAACTGAATAACCAAGTCACTGTCTTCCCTCTCTTCACTACAGCATCCCATGAAAGATTAAGAAAGAAAAATATGAAATGTAGAGTTACATTCTGATGCTTATGACTAGAAGTGCTACGAAACATTTATCTGGATTCAGAATACAAGTCCTGAGCTCACAGCACCTTTTAAGATCACTCAGTGACAAGATGAGACTGAATCATTTTATCAAATGCATATGTACTATTTTTCTACAAATCACATAAGCTGAAATATATGGCCCAATAACATAAAAGTATTTAATGAGGCTAATTTAAACTACAAACTGCTTAATATTCTTAAAGTACATGATTCCCTTTAGTATTTTAATATATTGTAATTGAAGTGATTATCTGTCTATAAGCTAGTTTAAGAGGAATAACACTACCAAAGGCAACACTGTTTTGATATAGTAGCACTTATCATTAAAATAAAAACAAAACAAACAAAAAAGCTCAAGATAAAAATACCATGAAGGTGGCAATGAGCAAGATTAAATGATCAATAAAACCATTTTTCTGCATGAGTGTATTCTTCCCACTCCTCAATTTCAAACATCCATCCTTAAGCAAACAGTTTAGATTAGGTTCAGTTTTACACTTTTCTCAAAACTACATTTTTTCCCACTGAGAAGAGAATTTTTTAAGCAGGACAGGAAGAGGACTCCGAGCCCAGTGTGGCAGACCTGGAGGACAGCTTGGGGGCCTGGGGGCCCGTGGGGCGCTCACCTGCTGAGGCTGGTACCTTTGCTGGGACTGGGACGGCAGGTACTGGGCCTGCGGAGGGAGGTGCGGAGGCTGCGGCTGCTGGTTGTAGTAAGGCTGCTGGCCCTGCTGACAGTAACTCACACCTTGCTGTCCATACTGAGGTGGCATCTGTCAACAAGTCAAGCAAAACAGGCGAGAAAGTCAAAATGGGCAAATTCAATGAAATCAAACTTGGTTTCGATTCAGCAACATGAAGCGGGCTCTTTGCTAAGCAACTGAATTCAATATTTTTACTCTTCTCTCCATTTACATAAATCGTCATACTGCCTTCTATTCATATATTATCAGTGTTGACTTTTTAAAAAATAAGATTTCATCAGATAATCAAATAGTGATAACCTCATTAAAATCCAGTGGGGTGGGGGAATCTCCTAATACTGACATGAAAAAATAGACTCTGCTGAGTTGGTGAATCACTATATTGTACACCTGAAGCTAATAAAACACTGTGTGTTAAGAAGAAAAAATACCCTCTGCTAAGAAAGTCGTTATGTTAATCCATTCTCCTGCAACGCTCAAAACTAAAATGAACTCCCACCATCCAAGCCCACTTACTAATATTCTGTAGGATGCTTATGGCTTGGCTACATGTATAGGGCATAGCTTTGTTTCAACTAAGGTCAAAAAGTCCCAACTCCATAGGAGCAGGCACTGTACCAGTTACATTAGCAATGCCATATACAGTTTTTGCGAAAAAGAAACTACATTGCTTTACAATCAAATACAACCCTTTTAGAAGATAGTACTATGTATATAACCCAAATATAACCAACAACATGAGTTCTTAAAGGAAAGATAATCATATCTAATATTAGAATAGTATTTTCCTACTTGATAAAACGGGTAATGGTGTAAAGCAAAGTGTGCTAGACTGCAAATGGCAGATAGAGACAAAAATGGCCTAAGTGAGCTGAGATTCTCCATCTCTAATTTACATGAACCTAAAAGTCCTTAAAAATATTTGCTCAAAGAAAAGTCCTTCCTCATGCAATAAATAAACCATGGATGATATTTTTAATTTTTTTTTTCAAATGAAAAATCTTTTTTTTCTAATTGAGAGAGAGAGCAGCAGAGAAAAAGAAAAACAAGGTATCAGGATGGCAAAAAGCACTCCACAGAGGAGGATAGTGAAGTCACCCTGTTAATAATACAACATGGTCCACTTGAGAATCCCAAGAACTAGAGCCCCATAAGCCCACACAGTTAAGAATTCAGTGATCAGTTCCAGATACATATTTAAAAACGCAATGACTACAAAATACTGAACAAGGAAAAAGGAATGGTAAAAGGAGGAAAATATTAAACACTTCGCCTCTAAGACCAATTAGCACAATAATTCGTAATACATACAATGAAGTAAAAGGGGAAAATGCAAAAGCTAAAGTTCATTTTCTTTGTGACCTGATTTAGATTACTGTCAAGGCCTGTCAGCAATGATCACAAACATTTGGCCACAAGGGCTCACAAATGTCTCATCACACAGACCCTAAGTTAGTAGAACAGACAAGTTTGTATTGAAAACCATTTAACTGCACAGTTGAATTCTTTGCTTTTATTTATTTTACAGCTTGATATCTCATAATGAATGTATGTCCCTGCCATAAGCCAAGCCAAAGAATTTCCATAAAATACAACTCCACATGCTAGAGTATCGTACACTACCACAACACATATCCTTCCGTTCAGCACCCATATGTTGATTTGATATCTAATACTATATTTCACACAAGCATCTTTGCAGTTTGATTTGAAGCAGTTAGGATAACACTTTTGCCAGTGTTAAAATGACTGTAAAGCTCAATCAACACAGCCAGAAACTCCCCTATGAATTGCACTTTAATATGTTGACTTTCTGGTTTACAGAAACCTTTACACACAATATGAAAGTGTCGTTTGGAGAGGAGGTTCTATTTTCTAAGACAGACAACAACAGGGCATGTTGTAGGCAGCAACTAACACTAGAGCAGCCCTGAACTTATTAGAATCTGTTACCACCTATTCCAGCTCTGAAAAGCTTGGGGACAAGTTGGAGTGCAGAGGAGGCATGGTAGGGTGGGTGGGAATGTAAGCAAATTTTCAACAGAACCACAGCACCAATCCACAGAGCACAGCAAACTTCAGAGGAGAAACCATCAAAAAACTTTTGCTTGGAGATTTTACTACTGTCTTCCACAATTAAAATCCATTTGCTCTCCTTTCAGATACATGGCCTAATTCATTTGGTACTCGCCTAACGGACACCTCACCCTCTGTGAGCCTGGGATGAGGTGATTTCTAACCCAGTACAATCGGGCCAGCAGTTAGAACTGGATCCCAGTGCCAATCTACTGAATCTGGTCTGCTGTCCTTCCATGGAAGCCACACTGCAACAGAGATCACTAAATTGTTGAGCGAAAAGTCTCTGGGTTGGAAATGCGCGAGATCTAAATCCAAGTCCTACTGTGTGGCTCACTTGTGTGAATGTGGTCAATCAGGTAACGATTTCCGTCTCACATCTCCATCTATAAAATAGGGCTACTTTCTCTGTTAATTCATATTAGTATTATAACCAGCAATATAATAATCCTACCTGGAATGCTACACAGATGCTATTATTTATTAAAGAAGTTGTAGAGCTATCTCTAAAATATTAACTATTTCCTAAGCTTTATCTTTAAAAATCAATTTCTAAATATAATACCTCAGTTGTCTACAACTAGTCTAATTCTTTAATGATCAATATTGCTTTTGTTTTAATCAATTTAGATGCAGGGCTTTCACAGATCTATTATATGCTTTTCTGACATCTTAAACCAAACAGTCATTATTATGAAACATAAATCGACAGACTGAGCCATAATACACTGAGAGCCTCAGAGCCTCTGGTCGAAAGCCATGCACACAAGCCCCACAGGGTAACTCTGGTCTCCCTCTGCCGTCAGTCTTACCTGCCACCAAGGCACTCAGCCATGGCTCATCACTCTGACCTCCATCCTGAACAGAACCTGCTGAGGACTGAGAAACCCATGACAGTTAAAAACAGGAAGGCCCAGGGAACTTGTTCCATGAGGGAAGCACGCGAGCTTTGACTGCCTCAAGTTTTGTAAAATCAATTTTGGTTACTACGAGTCTTCTTGTTTATGTCTTAGTTCTCAAACACACTCAGCTAAATAAGATTACCAGAATGCTGGATGCAAGGGAAATTTAACCAAGAGTTACTGAGCACCAGGAACCAAGTGAGGGGAGTTGGGGTCACAAAGCACTTCTAGCTCGGATAACAACCGCTCCCTGACCAGCCTAATGAGCACGGCCCCAGTTGTCTTTCTCAGGCCATTTCCAATTTTATGTTACCACAGGGGAGATGATAGGACTTAGTTAACGCCTTAATTATGTGTTGTGTTTACCGTCTGTCCTTATCACTGGACTCTAAACTCCCACATTCCTGGAATGCCTCCTGGAAGAGGGACTGCCAGTGACTAAATGTTTGTTGAATGAATGGATGCTGTTCAGTGGATTACTAAATCAAGTGATTATTATATAAAAAATTAAACGAGTGAAGGAACACCTCATAAAAATGGAAACACTTGCACTACACAACTCTTTGAAACACATATGTCCAGCTTCATCCAACAGCCAAAACACTGAACTTCATGCTCACAGGCACACAGCACTGTCAGCTATTAACTGCCAACCCTCTAAGTCATTATTACCCAGCGAATGTTCTGGACCTTTATCATGGTTTGAATAAAAAGATCACTACACTAAACTAAATGGAAATCTCCAGAAAATGCTTGAGATCAGAGCTTTTCTGTTATCTAAAAACAAGAAAAACAAGAATTTATTTCACTCATTTCTAAATAAAGAAGATCTTAGAGTGGAGCATGAGCACACATAATAACAAAAAATTTATTCCAATTTTCCAAGAAATATGAATGCTTTCATATGTTATTGGAGAGATAAAGTATAGCAAAAAATGATTCATTTAAGTATTAATTTTAGGAAATCACTCTGATAAAAAAAAAGTGAGTATTAACTTTCATATCCCTGTATCATTTTAAATATGCAGAAATTCCAGGCCCATTTCTCAATTAACCCTACCCTGAACTCTTTGCTCATACTTCAAAATTGAAGAAATAATCAATGTTTGTCTTCTCTCCCGTTTTCTTCCTAAAGAAGTTTTAGAAAACCACTTCCTCACCAAGGTGCACTGACCCTCTGACCCAGCAATTCCCCTTGTAAATATATACCCATGAAACACTCACATGTGTCTGAAGAAGGATATTCGATGCAATGCTATTTACAAAAGCCAGAAAGAGGACACAATCTAACACAGAACGTAAATGGAAAAAAAGAGGTTTTGCTATGGCCATACAATGGAATTCTATACAGCAGTTTAAAAAAAAAAAAAAAAGGTAGTAAAGCCTACCTAGCAAAATGGTTCAAATCCAAATAATATAATGCTGAATTTTATTTTATTTTTTTATTTTTTATTTTTTTAAATATTTTATTTATTTATTTGACAGAGACAGAGATAGCGAGAGCAGGAACACAAGCAGTGGGAGTGGGAGAGGGAGAAGCAGGCTTCCTGCTGAGCAGGGAGCCCGATGTAGGACTCGATTCCAGGACCCTGGGATCATGACCTGAGCCGAAGGCAGACGCTTAATGACTGAGCCACCCAGGCGCCCATAATGCTGAATTTTAAAAAGCAAGAAAAGAATGCAGCATAATACCATTTGTATACATTTTTAATACACAAAATACTATATATTGTTTATGGATACATATATATAGTAAAAGTACAAAAGCATGCATTGGAAAGGAAATACATGACATTCTCTGGAGAAGGGGGAGGATAAAAGATGGGGTGGAGCTTCAGTCTTGCCTTTTTTCCCTTTATAAAAAGAAGGAGATAATGAAGCAGATGTGGCAAAACAGTAACACCTAACAATCTTGGTGTAGTTACACAAGTGTGTTATATTTGTTTCTGTGCTTTTTTGTATGCCGAAATTATTTCATAATTTAAAATTCTGAATACAGATGTCACCTCCACCCTATCCCACATCCCCCCTGCCCCAAAAGCAGAGGCATGGAAGCTGCTCCAGCAGGCACACAAGGCAAGAGACAGGCCC